CAGGCCCGGATTTACTCCCTCTGCCGCCCCAAGGCAGGGTCCTTTAATGCCGCCCTCCCCACCCCACTGAAGTTTCTAACATACAATATACAAAAGTGGCAGATCCTTGGCCAGTGAAGGGACATGTTGGGTGCCAGTCACTTTAAAGGAGAACTATGAGGTGAGTGCTTTTCACTCACCTCATAGTTCTAGGCGACCTTGAGCTGTAGCTCGCTGTATACTGAGCTTAGGGTAACGGGAGGACGCTAGTTTGTGTCCTCCCGTTACCCTAAGGAGAACTATGGGGGAAAACACTGACCCCATAGTTCTCCTTTAGGTGCCTTTTTAAATGCTTTACTGAGTACTGCATAACTGGAAGAGAAGGTACACTATATTGCCAAAAGTATTGGGACACCCCTCCAAATCATTGGATTCAGGTGTTCTAATCACCTCCATGGACACAGGTGTATAAAATCACGCACCTCGGCATGCCGACGCTTCTACAAACATATGTGAAAGAAAGCGTACCGTGATAGGCTGCCACCTGTGCAATAAGTCCATCCGTAAAATTGTTAGTGGTATTATAACAAAGTAGAAGCAACCGGGAACAGCAGCAACTCAGCCACGAAGTGGTAGGCCACGTGAAATGACAGAACAGGGTCAGCACATGCTGAAGCGCACAGTGCGCAGAAGTCGCCAACTGTCTGCAGAGTCAATAGCTACAGACCTCCAAACTTCGTGTGACCTTCAGATTGGCACAACAACAGTGTGTAGAGAGCTTCATGGAATGGGTTTCCATGGCCGGGCAGCTGCATCCAAGCCTTACATCACCAAGTGCAATGCAAAGCGTGGGATGCCGCGGTATAAAGCACGCCGCCACTGGACTCTAGAGAAGTGGAGACGTCTTCTCTGGAGTGACGAATCACGCTTCTTTGTCCGGCAATCCGATGGACGTGTCTGGGTTTGGCGTTTGCCAGGAGAACGGTACTTGCCTGACTGCATTGTGCCAAGTGTAAAGTTTGGTGGAGGGGGAGATTATGGTGTGGGGTTGTTTTTCAAGGGTTGGGCTTGGCCCCTTAGTTCCAGTTAAGGGAACTCCTGCCTCCTCTGCCTGCCCCGTTCAACCTCCTCTGCCCGCCTGTTCCACCTCCTCTGCCTGCCCCGTTCCTCCTCTGCTGCCCGCCTTGTTCCTCCTCCTCTGCCTGTGTTCTATCAAAGATTGTGACTGTGTTAGAATGTGTGACCGGTGACTTGGCCACACATTTTAACGTAATCGTGCCCATTTTTTCAGCAGTAAAATATGTGACCGACAAAAGGTGAAGAATTCCAGCTGTTCCAGGGCAGATCGGCATCGCAGATGGTATGTGCAGGAGAACCGATATGCCCTGGAACAGCCGATCAGTCCTGAAATGTCACTTCCATCCGACTTTGTGACTGCGTTCTCACATTCCACAAAGTCGGATAGAAGTGACCAATCAGGTGTTCCAGGGCAGATCGGTTCTGCTGCACATACCATCTGCGATGCCGATCTGCCCTGGAACAGCTGAGAAAGTGTTGGAATTCTTCTCCTTTTGCCGGTCACATATTCCAAAAAAAGTGGGCGTGATTATGTAACAATGTATGACCACGTGACTGGTCACACATTCCACCGCTGTCGCAATCTTTGATAGAACACCTGCCCCGCTCCCTTCTCTTCTCACCCTTGCCCCCTCTGTTGCCTGTGTTCTATCAATCCCTCGGATTGATAGAACACCAGCGTCAAGTCACCCATCAACGGCTAGAAACAATAGCCAGCCTGCTATTGGATATTTTACATTTCATTAGCCAATAGCAGGCTGGCTATTGCATCCGCCCACTGCCAATCAGCAGAGGAGGACTTGAAGGTAAATGTCCGCCTTCAGTTCCCACCTCTGCTGATTGATAGCAAGCAGTGTGTAGGTAGGTGCAGTATGGCCAACGGTCACTAGATGCCCCCATGGGGCCCTGGAGATAGATGCAGCTCTGGCCTGGGAAGACTCTGTGTCCCAGGAGAGTTGATTTACAGGGGGCGCCCGAGAGGGGAAAGAGTTGAGTTCAGAGGAGTACAGAAGAAGTCTAAGACTGTCTGCAGAGTCTCTGGAGGGAGACTGTTTCTTGAATATAGGCTGGTCCATGGGAAGGACAGGACCAGGCCTAGGACTATGTAGAGCTACAAAGATTCCCTAGTTTCCCCACAGGGGGAAACCCACCGTGCTAGGACTGACAATGGATGGGATTCCGGAGAATAGTGAAGTGCTAGAAGACTGACGATATTCGCCAGTGGGCCTATGGCCGAAGTAAGTCGTGACTCTGGGCTGCACCTGGGCTGATGTACCTCTCTCTCTCTAAAGTGTATTACCATGCAAGTAACAAGAATTGTGCCGTCATCCCACCCGGGGGTGGCTGAAACGTATACTTTGTTCTGTTCTACCTTCAAGTAAAATCAACAAAAAGACTATCTGTGTGGACTGGTTCTTCTCCCTCCAACCTTTGAAAAGGTGGGGTTCAACCGGAGTGTGATGTTGGACTGTATCGTGGCTGTAACCATCTGAGGAGGGTAGGTGCGCAATGGGGCAATGCCTGACACAGGGTGCCGTTCAGGGTGGCCTTTCTCCCTAAGGGGGAGGAAGCGCCGAAGGCCGCAGAGGCGGTTGAAGCCATGAGGCCCTGTGTACGCAGTACTACACGTGAGGGAGTGTTTGCAGGAGGCCAAGGCCGTGGCCCCTGACCGTGGGGTGTCTGGTTTCAAGTTGCATGCACGGGGTTACCCAGCCAACCCAAAGGGAACACACACGCAACACCCCAAGAGTGAACCCCGCCTACAAGTGGACAGGTGCAATAGCCAGCCTGCTATTGCAATTTAAAATAACCAATAACAGGCTGGCTATTGCTCCCAGCCGCTGCCTGCTGACATTCAGCTGCCTCAGCTGTGAATGCACCGAGTACGAGTACCAATATTTTTTTTCCCGGTATGTCACACCAGTGACGAGGGAGCATGGAGCCAGCTTCCCGGCCAATCAGGAAGTCGGGCAGCGTGTAATGCTGCCTGGCTTCCTGATACCGAAAGTATCGGGCTAGGCATCGAAGCATTTGGGCGAATACTAGGATCGGTATCGATGCATCCCTTTTTTATACATTTCTTGGGATATAGATAGAGCTTTCTTTTGGTGGTTTTTAATCACTGCTGGGTTTATTTTTTAATTTTTTACTATATAAAGAAAAAAGTGCTGACAATTTTGAAAGAAAACTGTTTTTCCTTTGTACTTGCCCAAATACTCGGTATCGGCACTGATACTAGTATCGGTATCGGTGCATCCCTAGTTACAATGTTACATGGGGGACTAAAGGGAAAAAATAAACTCTTGCAGTGGACTTCCCACCCCTCTCCTGCACTGCAAGGCAGAGATGTGCGGTGAGGTCAGTAGCAGGTGAGGCAATCCCCGGTCCGCTCTAGGCCTGGTCACCGAGGTATGTGTGAAGGAGAGAAGGGGGAGACATGGAGGGGCCTCCCTGTCATCACTGATGAGCCATCTAGATGGATGTTGGCAGTGCTTTTTTTTTTTTTATTGAACCTATGATGCTTTGCCATTGGTCCAAACCATCCAAAGAGCTCAAGCCTCTGACTCCAAATCAGACGCTCTTGTAGCTCTGGGCTCACCGTGTTAGGTTACACAGCAGCAGGGAAACCCACTGCTGTGTAACCTCACTAGCTGCCAAAAGCAGAATGAAGTGCCGATCATGTGCCGACATGACAGGTTACCCAACGGGGAGGCTTTCCCCAACTCTGTAACTTGCTCAAAGCCGGTCAGACTTGAAGATGACAGCCTTTTCTTCCACAATGGCTCTGCCTCATCTTCCTCTCCTGACCGCTTGAAAGCAGCAGTAACCGGTCTTTATTACAGGAGGAGGCGAAGACCAGACCAGTCACCCTGCACAAGGAGAGAAAGCAGCAGTAACCAGTCTTTATTACAGGAGGGGGCGAAGATCAGACCAGTCAGCCTGCACAAGGAAAGAGGAGCAGTAACCATTCTTTATTACAGGAGGGGGCGAAGACCAGACCAGTCAGCCTGCACAAGGGAAGAGGAGCAGTGACCTGTCTTTATTACAGGAGGGGGCAGAGACAGGTTCAGTCAGCCTGTACAAGGAAAGAGGAGCAGTGACCTGTCTTTACTACAGGAGGGGGCAGAGACAGGGCCAGTCAGCCTGCACAAGGAAAGAGGAGCAGTGACCGGTCTTTATCACACTGAGGGGCGGAGACCAGACCAGTCAGCCTGCACAAGGAAAGAGGAGCAGTGGCCTGTCTTTATTACAGGAGGGGGCAGAGACAGGGCCAGTCACCCTGCACAAGGAAAGAGGAGCAGTGACCGGTCTTGATCACACTGAGGGGCGGAGACCAGACCAGTCACCTTGCACAAGGAAAGAGGAGCAGTGACCGGTCTTTATTACAGGAGGGGGCAGAGAAGGGACCAGTCACCCTGCATAAGGAGAGAGAGCAGCAGTGAGCGGTCTTTATTATTAATGTATATAGCGCAGATAATTTATGCAGAGCTATGGTGTGCACAGTACAGGGGATAGATTGGGGAAAATGTATCAAAAATGGAGCAGACAGAATCTTGAGCAGATGCTTATGGCAACCAGCTTTTCTCTTCAGTTAAGGTTTGAAAATGAAAGAGAGAAGCTGATAGGTTGCTATGGGCAACTGCTCCAGACAGTTTCGATGAATTCCCCTCATAGTCTTTCTATGGACTGTATACACGGCTTTGTTACAGCTCCTCTGTAATCGCTCAGGTCATATCTGCGGGTAACGGTGAGGACATGCCGAGGCCTGTAGGAAGAGACCGGCCCCGCCCACACAGCCCGGTCTGTCACATGATCACCCGGCTGATCTGCAGCTGGGGGAGGAGCCCCAGCGATCCACGCCGGAAGTCACTTGTTCCTCACCTAGGAGACGGCGCCCGTGCGTCCCAGTAGGACGCGTTGACCCGGAAGTCGTGCGTCTCAGGCCAGTGACGTCTCGGTAGATGATTGGTTGAGGGGCTCTGTGAAGCAGCGGGAGGGGAGTCCGGTGTATAAGCGACTGCTGGAGAGGATGAGGCTCCCCGGAGAGCGGACGGCCCGGGACTAGAGACAGGAGGAGCAGCGTCCCCTCCGGTCCGGTCTGCGCTGTGCGGAAACTGCATGGAGGTGAGAGACACCAGATAGTGAGGGAGAGAACTGACACGGGGGAGAGCGAGCTGGCACGAAGAGAGGTGACACCAGAGAGAGAGGTAGCTAGGTGTGACACCAGAGAGAGATGACACTAGAGTGAAGGGAAGTGCTGTGACACCAGAGAGGAAGAGAGAGCGGTGACACCAGAGAGAAGGAGAGAGAGATGACACTAGAGAGAGAGCGGTGACACGAGAGAAAGAGAGAGCGGTGACACGAGAGAAAGAGAGAGCGGTGACACGAGAGTGAAGGAGAGAGCGGTGACACGAGAGTGAAGGAGAGAGCGGTGACGCGAGAGTGAAGGAGAGAGCGGTGACGCGAGAGTGAAGGAGAGAGCGGTGACGCGAGAGTGAAGGAGAGAGCGGTGACGCGAGAGTGAAGGAGAGAGCGGTGACGCGAGAGTGAAGGAGAGAGCGGTGACGCGAGAGTG